GTGTCTCCCCCCGTCAAGCTACTAACATTAAACAAACAAACGCCAAGAAAAGATGGCAGCGAAGAAAGAAAACTAAAAACAGAACCCCCTAAAGTAGTTGTAAAGTAAGTAAAAGCGWTTTTGTTTGGTATTAAGATTGTTTGCATYTSYYTTTTAATGCTCKGGTCACTTAAGACGGCWTTTTCTGAAGTAAWGCATSCTGGGAAACTGATTCCTCAATTYGTATTTTTGGATGGATGGTTTTTATATGGTTTTTACAGGAAATACACTGAAAGATAGCAATTTTAGAAAACGTTGAATACTGTACGCAATTCATTGCTGTAATTGAACGACACGTAAGCTGCGCTGCAAAGTGAAAATTCTAAACTTAAACTTTTCATTGAAGTTCTTAACAGTGCTGAATTTKTATACTTAGACACTATGGTACCACGAAAACTCCTTTTCAACGGCGATGGAATGTCCAACAATGCATTTCGGTCTTGGAACACACTATGTTCAGTATTGAACGTTTTCTGAATTAGCTGTGCATTTGTTTATAGACTTCTTTCAGTACWTGGGAAGGAATGGAGGACAAAACAATGGATTCTAGCTCCCAAAAGGGCAAAAATCTTTTGTTTTTCCCTCCAGATGTAGCTGCTTCACATCACATGCAAGGGCCCTATAAGTTTCACATGTGCAAGAAGTTAGTTTCCCATCATGCTTTAGTCTTAAAAATGKCGTCTGACCACGTGGTTTATATGTTTGTTTGTTTCAGGCCTTTAACAAAGGAGTCCAAGTTACAAAATAGTATACGTGAATTAAAAGAAACAAATTTATTGCTCTCAAGACTGAATAGTGAACTACAGCAAGAAAATACAGAAGTAAGTTGGTCTATATTTATGATTTACTTACTCAGCTTTAGSAAAGAGACCAACCTCATTTCCAGGTTTTTTGGTTGCTTTTTCAAAATGGACGGCAGAGGAAGGCCTGGCTTTTAGGCGTGAACAACCAGCTCTTCCCCTCTTTTTCTTTGTTTACTTTTCCTATGTTTTTCTTTCTCATATCTTCACTGTTCTTCTCATATAATCTTTTCGCATAAAGACTGGTTTTTACTTTTTTCATTGGGGAGACTTAAGCAGAAACCKTTACCGAAGTTCAAAAGAAATTGTTGGGATTTGGCTTTTTCCTGCTGTTTGCTGCAAATCAAGAGACTAAATGAGTTTACAAAAAGTTCCTCCCCTAAGATCGCAGGAAAGGGCAAAACACAATCAAACTTCAAAGGAAAAGGTCGCTGTAATAGTGATAAAAGGATAACTTTTTTTAATTTTTTTTTCGTAGATGATGGAACAACGAATTAGTTTGGAGCTCAAACTAGAGCGGCTAAAGCCATTTACGTCCAAATGAACCGATAAACAATATAAAAACATAGACGATTACTTATTCCAAATGATCAACGCTTCGAATCTATTTGACGTCACATCATCCTGTGAATTTCATCGATGTTCGTGAACTATCAACCACATGAAGCCCGAATCACTTAAGCTTGCTGGCTGTTGATTGGTTGGTTATACTTACCCAGTTCCCTAATTGCGCGGTTTATAAATACGAGAGGAAATGGTAAAGACATAATATATCATTACGATCGACTCACTTTCAGTTCAAAAATTCAAAAAAATATCGAAAGTCAWAAAACTTATACTTTGAGCATGCGCAATGGTGAATTACGTGTCAGTTGTAATCTACTCAATGCGCATGTCCGTATTTAGGTAGATATTTCAAATAAGGTTTAAAGGCGAGTAGATGGTACATCGTATTCCAAAAAAAATATCTTAATTAAGAGATTTATCGAACACACTTTATTGAGAAGTTTAATTTTCAYAAAACAGTAAAATTGAGTATAAGTGACTAAAAGTGCGCATTATTTAGCACTATTTACTCTTAAACGATTAATAACACTCAGTGTTTAATAGTTACTAATGGATTATCTTAAGAGTCGTTTTTATTTGACTGTGAAAAATTAGTGAGACTAATACTTGGTCTAATACTAWTACTAAGGACTAGCATCAGTGTGAAGCGATGGCATTTTGTGCAGCAAAGCATGATGGTAGTTGTAGTTCTCGTACTTATTAGAGACCCTAAAATCCATGTTTTCTTAGCAGTTTTTGCTTTTTCTAAGCAAAAATAGAAGTACTTGTACCGTTTATACTAAGGAGGACTGTTGTAGCAGACATAAAAAAGGACGAGGACTACAACTACCATCATTCTTTGCGACACAAAATGGCGTCGTTGCACATTTCCTATTGCCCCAAASGCATCAGTTAGTGCTTTYTGGTACGRTGTTGCACACTTTTGTGTCTGTACTCAATTCCTTYGACGCTTCTAGTGACTATCATGCTCGATTTGTTTTGTTTTTCTATTATTTGAATAGGGATTTTATACTTAAATATATGGACTTTACTTTACAAGAYACAGGGATGTCGGAGAAARTATTGAATGCACAACCAAATGTTAYTGTAGCTWATCAMAACATTRACAGAATTCCTTCTGCTGCTGTTAAATGCAAAAACAAACCATAGAAGGCCTTTTATATAACGACAATAATAGTATTGGTTGCTTTTGATAGGTGCAGAAGTTTGCCGTAAACAGCCATTACCCAGAGTAACTTTCGGACGTGCATTCAAAACTCTCTTCGTCAAACCTTTTAGAATTAGCTGTATCTATATAAGAATGACACATGGGTTATGTTTTGTATTGTGTGTCGCCTTTTGACGATAACAACCTTATAAAAATAGCAGTATAACAAAAAATAGATTTTATAATATTGCCACGTGACGCTCGCAACGAGCCAAGCTCTTTATTTTTATGTTAAATAGATCACGTGATTTAACCATGAGGCACCTCGTGACTGCATTTATTAAGCATGCATTGCGCGTGTTAGGTAAAGTTGTTTCGAAATTTGTTGATTTGCATCATTTTTTATTACATTTAAAAATATAGAAAAGTTATAAGATATTAATGTATATGATAAAGGTCAAGGAACTAAATAGTTTATCAATCAAACGATTTGATTTGTCGTCATTCTCATATACCAAGTAATGTTTGATGAAAGTAATAGTCTTCTTCACGGTTCTCTGCACCATCTTGAAAGGTAGCTGTGCCATGCATCGAAGCGTGACGACCGTTGAGCTTGCAATAATAGAAACCTTCCACACCTACAGATTATTCACAGGTACCGTGAAGGAGCCTTTTCGCGCCATGATGCGGAATCCAAAATCCGACAAAATTTAGGCTCTGGAATCTTGAAGCAGGAAACTTGGAAACTGTGGCAATTCTAGAAACGGAATCCGATAAAACAAGAGGAATTTGGAATCTAAATTAAAGACCTCAAATGTTTCCAGGTTCCCTGCGACTTCTTGAAAGGTAGCCGTGATTACATCGAAGCGAGATGACCGTTGAGCGTGTAATGATAGAAACCTTTCACCTACGAACAATTATTCACAGGTATCTATCATTGCACGTTCAACGGTTGTCTCGCTTCGATGTAAAGGCACGGCTACCTTTCAATATGACATAGGGAACCGTGAAAGAGACCTATTGTAAACGAGTCACTGACAAATAAAAAAAAGTTAGGATGCTTTCCATTCGTAATTTAGAATCCTTGCGAAATCTTTCATGGAATCCGAAATTCAGGCGCAGGGAATTCTTCAACCCACTCTTCTTTGTATTTTATTGGCCATTATCAAAGCCCGCAGCTTTGTCACCTGTTGAGCAGACCTCACTGGTGGCAAACTTCACAGCAAAATAGACAATGGAGTTCTGATAATTAGAAAATCAAACGAGTTTTTTTTTTCAGACTTTCAAAATTAACCGTGCTGTACTATGATCGGATCAGTGGATATAAAAGGCATAAAAATACTATCGTGTAAAAGTGCAACACGTATTTATCGTGGCTCTGTCAGATTCYCTCGCTATACTTCACACCAAGTCAACTACAGATCAAAGTGTTAAGCCGTATATATATATATTTGGAAAATTCATGACAGACAGTCAGAACCTGGTAGAGCACGTAAAAAAAACAACTCGGTTCGGTATATATTCATTGGATTAGATCAATATGACTACATACATGGACATTGCATTTCTGCTTGGTATATCGGAGGTCTTGGGCCTGGTAGTAATAGTAYTTGGATCGTTTGRTGGATCATTTATTCCTGCAAAGCCTAGTAAAAGTCAAGCTCAGTGGCTGGATTATGAAGTCGGTGCGTCGATTCACTTTAATATGCAGACTTTTGATCGACATATGAAACGAGGTATGGTTATATTCAAAAAGAGATCTTATGTTGAAATGTTTGAAAGCGTACAAACATGTGGCCACCGAGTTAAAAKTTGGGGCGTAGGTAGGAGRAATAAGTGCACGGACGGAGGACTAGATAGGACTACCTGCAGGTCACGAAGAAGGGTGTTCACTCCAGAGAAATTGTTACAAACGAGATACATATTTAGGAGAAAATAAAAGGTASAAAATCTCACGAGGGGATATTGCACGCACAATGCATCCACCAGCTTCATCCGTCACAGGGGCATAAAGTTACTTACACATGTAAAATTTGTAGTAAAGGTTAGAGTACAAACATTAAATGTGTGCAATACTTTACACTATTTACTACAAAATAGTGTTAATTCAACAATAGAAAACAATAGAATTAGCATAATTTAGCAGTATTTAGTGGTATTTATGTTGCACAGTTATAGTGTTTGTACTCTATTAGAGCGAAACAGCGATAACACGACCGCAAGCTATTGTGAGATTACATTTAACAAATTTACGATAGTTTCGTGTTGTATGTCCCTCTTCTTTACCACAATTGGGTCATGGAATGGTGTCTAGATTGTTAAGCTGTAGATCCACGAGACGAAGTACTGCGCGCATTTTTCAAGCTAAAAGAATAACTGAAATGTCATTTCAAACTGAACCAAAATATTTAATTCAAGAAATCATGGTACATTTTTTTACGCTTTAATTRTGCCCAGTCAGGAATTTAATTCCCAATGACAGAAAAGTCGGGAAAGTCCATTGTTTTTCTTTAAAGTATCAAAGTTAATCGCGAGCAAAGTAGCGAACGTGGTATGTACTTTTATTTAAACGGCTCTCGAGCAATCAGAAAGCGAGAACATTATCATATGTGGTAAAATTTTGAATGGACAGTATTATTAATCCGCTCAAAAACACGAACAAGCCAAACAAAGTCATCATTGTAGACTCATTAAATCGAAAAAAGAAGTATTGAGTGCAGCCATAATGCATTTCGGTATTTAACGAGCACAAAATAAATGTAAATATTTTTTATTGACACATATTTCAGATCATGTCGCTCCACCAGACACGTTTAACCCATACAACCTATCAACAGACCAGTGGATAGACGCGGCTGCAAGTTTTGGCGCCAAATACGTGGTCTTGACGCTAGACCATTTTAGCGGATTCTTACTTTGGCCGAGTGGGACTTATAACTACTCTGTCAAGAACGCCAGATGGAGGGATGGGAAGGGAAATATTGCACTGGACTTTATCAACTCATGTAAGAAGAAAAACATCCAGCATGGATATTTTTACAGCGTAAACAAGAACTGGTTTATGAATGTGGAGAATTACAGTACAAAATATGAAAACGATCAGAGACGTTATAACAAAATAGTTTTGACGCAGCTTAGAGAGTTATTAGGACATAAATCTGAATATTCCAACCCGTTTTATTTCTGGTTCGATGCTGGTACTAATCCCAAGACGAATCCCGACATTGGGCCACTCATGCGGACACTCGCCAATGAAACTATCTGCGATGAATGTAAGTCCTTTGCGGGTAATCAAGGAGTACGTTGGGTTGGAAACGAGCAAGCTGTATCACCACTGCCCAACTGGTACTCAGTTCTTGAAGGAAGATGTAAGTTGAAAAGTAGCAAATCCATCTACCCATCTTTCTTTCGTTGAAGCCTTTTAAATATGAGCTTCCTCTTTTCTGCAGTCAGTTTCAATTCGCCTTTTGGTCATTCAAGGGCGTATCATCTCACCTTACTTCCTCATATTTCAAATGTGTCCTTCACTTCTTCAAGTCTTCCATACATTTCCTTTTTTCTTACATCTTCAGCATCARTTCGTCTTTGACGTCGTTCCTTCGTTCAAAGATTTCCCATTAYGTCTTTCCTTTGTTTTAGCCTTCTCAATACGCCTTCCCACATTCCACACTCAGTTTCAAAACCTTTTTCCTTCATTCCAACCTTACCAATGTCCAAAATGACATTAAAGTGCCTATGACGCCTGACACAATAATTTCTGATTCTCTGTGAGCTGATTCTATATAAAGTAAATAGCTTAATGGTGAAATATTTCTGCATTTCAGTGTTGCGTCTTTGAGTTTTGAAGGTTCAATCTTACGATATGGTAATGAAAATGACGTCCACGAAGGCTTCATTAGATATACGAATGGTTTTAGACCTTTATAACTCAAAGACGCAAAACTGAAATGCAGGAATATTTCACCATTCAATTATTTGCTTTATATAGGGCGTCAAAAGCACTTTAACTTCCTTCCATTGCTTGATGACTTCCGTTCCATCCTTCTTTCCATCCTTAGTTTCAACACATCTTTTCTTTACTCCATTCCCAGTTTTAATACAAGCAACTCTATATCGTTCTTTGAATTTATCATTTGCTTCATACTAACATAATATTGTTAATCTACATTTAGGTGATAAATTCGAAGGAAACTCTCGAGGAAAGCAGTTTTGTCCGGCAAGTTGTGATACTGTGATACGAGAACATTACTGGTTCTGGGAACCGGGCACGGAACATAAAGTCAAAACTCCACAGAGGTAATCATAAGAAGAGGCGAATAACATAAATGAATCGTCAAAACAGCTATCATTGCAATAGTCTTCTTCACGGTTCCCTGCGCCATCTTTAAATGTAGCCACGCCTTTACACTGAAGCGAGACAACCATTAAACATGCAATGATAGAAACCTTCTTGCACACCTAAAGACAATTATTCACAGGTATCTATCATTGCACACTCAATGGTTGTCTTGCTTCGATGTAATGGTGCGGCTACTTTTCAAGATGCCGCACGTAACGACCATTCCAAGACTCTTTTCTTGAGCACCACCCACTGTTAAAATCCAACGTTGGCTGTCAATATTTTTAGAATCTTTGTTTTTTGCCACTTTTTCATCTAATCTTTCTCCTCCTCTGCTATATTTCATCAGGGGCGGTTTTAGGGGGCGACAAAGGCCCCCTTCATCTTATAATTATTATATAAAAAGACAAAAGAATTAAAAAAGCGCAAAATAAAATAACCTCAAAACACATTTGATTGTCGTCGGTTTTTCTTATCATTTGCATTTTCAATAAAAGATTAAAGTAAGTTGATGAAACAAGGCAAATTCCCGAGAAAATTTCCCGCCATATTTGACGTCGTCCCCCAAACCTTTTGAAAATTGCTGTAAACACCCCTTTTCATCAAGTCCATTTATTTTCCATAGGTTGGTACAAGAATACATAACAAGTGTAGGAAGAGGCTGCAATCTGATTCTCAACCTAAACCCCGATAACCGAGGTTTAGTACCGGAAAAAGATCTAAAAGTATACCGGGCGCTTGGTAAAGGGATAAAACTTCTGTACAAACACCCGGTATCAACTTTAACTAGCCCGGTTCTAAGATTAAATCAAGCTTTCACAATCAATCTGATGAGCTTTAGTCCATTAAATGGATCTATTGTACTTATGGAAGACATAGAATCTTATGGGCAGCTAGTTGAGAAGTATGAACTCCGTTTTATAGCTGATAATGCGGTTATCAGTGAGACTGGAAGTTCTATCGGTCACAAACGAATACATCCTTTTCCCAGCTCACTAAGCAGYGCARTTATCGAGAGCATAGAGGTKACTATTATAAGTTTACTGACAAWRGACACAACTATTCGMTTGAGGGAGATGGCTGTGTWTGACTGGACAGAAGCTGAAAATGCAGGTTTTTTAGATCAAGMTAGGATTTTTAATTGGAATRACACTATAACTACAGCATGAAATACTTGCATGCCTAGTGACTCCCCTATGGGTTCCTCACTTTTAATGCACAAAAGAAAATAGTATTATATAATAAAGTCTAAGTAAGAATAAAGTAAGACAAAACGCCAACTTGAAGCTTAAATATTTGCTTTATTAATTGTGCATTTAAAAATGATTGTAAGCTGTGGATTTTGTAGACAAGGGTATTTCCTTTCAAGACTATGTCTTTTCAATTGAGCAGGCTGGCTGTCTAGTCATCGTCTAACTGTGGAAATGGAGCAAATGCAGAAGACTTTAGATAACATCTNCCAGACACGTTTAACCCATACAACCTATCAACAGACCAGTGGATAGACGCGGCTGCAAGTTTTGGCGCCAAATACGTGGTCTTGACGCTCGACCATTTTAGCGGATTCTTACTTTGGCCGAGTGGGACTTATAGYTAYTCTGTCAAGAACACCMGATGGMGGGATGGGAAGGGAAATATTGCTCTGGACTTTATCAACTCATGTAAGAAGAAAAACATCCAGCATGGATATTTTTACAGTGTATACARGAACTGGTTTATGAATGTGGAGAATTACAGTACAAAATATGAAAAGGATCAAAAACTTTATAACGAAATAGTTTTGGCGCAGCTTAAAGAGTTATTAGGACATGATTCTGAATATTCCAAACCGTTTTATTTCTGGTTCGATTCTGGTACTGACCCCAAGACGAATCCCGACATTGGACCACTCGTACGCACACTCGCCAATGAAACTATCTGCGATGAATGTAAGACCATCTCTGGTAATCAAGGAGTACGTTGGGTTGGAAACGAGCAAGCTGTAGCACCRCTGCCCAACTGGTACTCAGTTCTTGAAGGAAGATGTAAGTTGAAAAGTAGCAAWTCYATYTTCMMRTCWTTCTTGTTTTMAAGCMTTTTCAATATGCTCTTCCTTTCTCCCCCAGTCAGTTGCAACTCTCCTTGTGTGTATCTCCTCCCCCCTACTTCCATCTGTCCAATATATCCTTCCCCTCTTCCCTTTCTTTCAGTCATTTCCCACTTTCTGTTACTATTGTTAATCTACATTTAGGTGATACATCCCAAGGAAACTCTCGMGGAAAGCAGTTTTGCCCTGCAAGTTGTGATACTGTGGTACGAGAACATTATTGGTTCTGGATACCAGGCACGGAACATACAGTCAAAACTCCACAGAGGTAATTACAATGAGAGTTGCCAAAAAACAATTAAAATGGAATTCTTCGTTTTCACTATACTTCACAGCGGCCATCTTGGATGAACTTCAACAAAGGATTTCTCATTAGTATCTATTGTTCATTCCTCCAACATGGCCGACGGTCTTTTATCTTTTGAACCCCCTGGGAATGGTTGAAAACGAGCAATTGTTATCTAGTTTTCGAATATTTTGGGTAAAAAAAAACTAATTTATAAATGATCCTTTTGTGTTGCCTGAGTTTCTTCTTTTGTTGCAATTATTAATGGTAGAACACTAGGATGAARATATGCTCCAAAAATACACACACTGAGAAAAACATAATGCATGAAGAGAATTCTCTTTGAGGTGCCTTTGCTTGTAGACTTCTCCCCTGCTCCAGTGTTTCACCATCTGCAGCTAGCTGAAACTCCAATAACTCCTTGATAAAGTTGCCCATCAATTGCTCTTTTTTGAAAGTTTTGAGTTTTCCAAGCATTTCCAAGTATTATCCATGTTCTTTTTCCTTCTCTTCTGCMWTAATTTTCATAAAATCTTTTTGCTTGTTTAACAGGTTAATACACGAATACTTAACAAGTGTAGGRAGAGGCTGCAATCTGATTCTCAACCTCAGCCCYGATAACCGAGGTTTAGTAGAAGATGAAGATCTAAAAGCATACCGGGAGCTTGGTAAAGGGATAGAACTTCTGTATAAATACCCGGTATCAACTTTAACTAGCCCAGTTCTAAGATTAAATCAGTCTTTTGCAATCAAACTGACATACTTTAGTCCCTTAAATGGATCTATTGTACTTATGGAAGACATAGAATTTTATGGGCAACTAGTTGAGAAGTATGAACTCCGTTATATATCTGATAACGGGGTTGTCAGTGAGACTGGAAGTTCTATTGGTCACAAACGAATACATCCTTTTCCCAGCTCACTAAGCAGTGCAATTATC